ACCCCAATAAGCTGGAAGAATTTTTTGAGAGGTAATTAACATGTTTGTGCTTTTTGTCAGCTGCATTAAAAAAAGAGTCTTTGACCTGAATGTCATCTTCTCATTTGTGGCAAAGAGTCATCAACATCTAATTTTAACACTTGATCGGCTAATTACACTACATGCATAATTTAACTTTATGAACTCACTTGCTTTTCTGTCTTCATTACAATTAGTACCCCCCACACACACATGCACACATGTAGGACTTTACTGCACTGTAACACCATCATTTCACATACTAATAGCCTACAGTAACACCATTATAAATATTAATGTATACACACACACACACACTATATAGAGAAACAGCTTGTTTAAAGACTATACAAGGTAACTGCATTGTCCCCTTTGCTATACCCTTAGGTGTATGGGAAACCTGGAAAGAAGCCACTAGTGGGAACAGCTGTCATGTGCGTTCACTACAACATTGAACCCATTCTGGGTTGTACCTGCACAGGGAGCCTCCATGGTCCATCTTTGAAATGAGCCACACATCTTATAACCTCAGCTCAGCAGAGGCATGGAAGAAGTGTTGTGAGGATTTTATCAACAGTGGCCATAGAGAGCAAGAAATAAACGGGGGTGGGGGTACAGCAAAGAGACAACACTTCTAGACAATTTTACATTACATTTTCAAATGTTAGTGTATTCAGGTCATTGTTGAAACTGAGCTCTTAGTTTCAATGGGGTATATCCTAAAGGCCACATTCCAGTGCTCTTTTTTGCCTCTGCTACAAGCGTATTGTTCTTTAACCAGTGATGAATATTTCCACTTGGCTGCAGTATTTATTGAGAAACACAGTAATGCAGGGGAGAAACAGGGAGGAGCCAGACATAACAACAGAAAATGTGGTTTACTACTGGGACAACTACTCTATGCACACAGTAGATAGTGACTAGAAAGAATTTTGAGCTTGTGCATGTATGTTAAGGGGGTTAAAACTTGACTATAAGATGATTTTGTATGAACAGAGACACATTTGAGCATTTTATTTAAGTCACAGTCCCAGTTCTGACTGAGGCAGAGGGAGACTTCATATGTCACTGTCATTAATATCAAACCATGTGACTCCAGATAAGAATTAATAAGTCAAATGACTAGTGATGGTATTATGGAGTCTAAATATTATATGGATTCATATCTTTGTAATCAAAGCTACAAGGTGTTAAGATTTCAGATGGCATCATGCTGTTATATCGTTGTGTTCAGGACAGTAATTTGTTTGGGGAAGACGTGTTCATGAACACAACATGTTGTCTGTACATCAGCCCACACAAACATATCATTGGCTTCTCTTTGCTCACATAACACAGCTGTGTCTGCCTCATATGCACCCTGTCCTTTCTAATGACCACATTAAATCACTGAGTCTACCTGTGAAATGGGAAAACCAAAATCATTCTGAGTGTCCATACAACAATTTCCTTCACTACATACATACTGTGTTGCCTCCAGGTCAACCTGCCTGTGCTCATTCGGTGCAAAAATTAAGCAGAAGGAAAATTTTAATTTTGCCCTTTATGGTATTGATTAGAGAATCGAGTCAGTTATGGCTGACAACATGAGACCAAACCAATCTATATTGTATGGGCTGATGAGCACAGAAAGCCACTTTCATTAAGTGATTAAAATATTGGGTTTAGGAAATTACAGGGTTAATAAAAAATTCTGTATAAATGTTAAAAAAAGGTAAACCTAAATGGTGACCCACAATACTTCCTCAAATTAATGTAGAAACATAAAAAAGTATTAACCCTTTGTTTTGCTACAAACATGACATTTGAGAATGTAAGAAAATACAGAAATGACCATAAATATTTTTATTAAGTAATTGATGTTTTATATATTAAAAGCACAAAACAAATATTTATTCATTTTATTTGCTAAAATTTTTATGCAGTCAGCAAAATGTAATGTCAGCAATGTACAGTATGTTATGCATCTTATTTAGTGGCGGGGGCAGTTATAATCCAGACACTAAATAGCACCCTCACTTCAGTCTGTGACTCAACTGTTTTGACAAAAAAAATAAAAATAAAAAATAAAAAAAAATCCCAAACTCTGCACAAAAAATAAAAAATAACAACAAGATAATATTTGGACCAAAAACATCAAAACAACAGCATCACAACAATTTGAATCTGACACCCCAGGTTTCAGCTAAAATCAGTTTGGCCTGTGATGAATGTGAGATGAGGCAATGCTTGGAAGAGGAGTGTGTGTGTTGTTTAGATGTCAGCCACACATGTTTGTGCTGTTCATTTGACGGGGCCTTATGTGGCAGTGAGTGGAGTATGACTGAACCTAATCTTTACCCCCCTCCTGCTCGTATTTAATCTTATCTCATCAGATCGGTTTTTCTAATCTGCTTTGTGAAAGCGTATGAAACTAATTGTTGCGCGCAGTGACAGTGCAGTGGGTGACTGAGACATTATGCGCTTGTGATTCAGCAAATGGGGCAAGCGAGGTTGCTTGTATTTGAAGGCCAGCCTAAAAAACCTAAATGAGATTGGGGTTTCAAAGATATTTAACAAACCTAGAAACAACCTTATACAGCCCTATTTGATTGTTTATTTATATTTAAAATTTTAGTATTTTCATCACCTGCACAAGAAAATGAAATAAATGTAGACATTAAGACCAATCTGTTTTGAAAATGATGCACCCTTAAAGTCACACCTATTTCCCGTCCTAAATAAATAAACCTATAAAGACTTAATGGGTTTATTCCAGAAGATGTTGAGAGGGCCATTTTAAAGCCTTGTAAATCAGGTTCCGCTGGCCATTTAATGAACTTGTAAATTAATGCACCATGCTGTGTAAATTGGAGGGTGATAAATATTCATGTAGTTACCTAAGAAAAGGCCAAAGACATATCACAGACACGACCAGATTGGGTTTGCAAGCAACACAGTTTATAGGACAATCTCCCACCTTATTGGTATTTTTATGGATTTGTTATGCTTCATGGGCTATATGAGAAGAAAGAATCACTCCCTTTGCCCCTGCTTTTACTTAATACTATCTCCACTCAGTGTCTGTTTATCTTGCCTGGGTTAGGTCATGGTATTACACAAGGCAAGCTGACATAGATAGGTCTTACAGGGGCAGTCTATTCTTATTTTATCAGAGGTTACTTAACGCAAAACGATCACAATCCAGTCAGTCGGCGGTAGTTGTCCTTTATCAGAGTGTGACAGTTCAGATCCAAACTATGTCTGTCATGTAGGAAACCAAATATAACAGTGAACCATCCTCATCATGCAGGGAAATATCTGAGGAAGTTCAGTATATGCAGTCTGCTCTGCTACATCTATGAAATGATAGCACTTTATGCAAAGTTAAAAGAAACAACCACACAAAGCACACATCTACTCATAACCACAGACCAAATCTTAAAGCTAAAGGTTGTCTCAGGGGCGGATCATAAGAGGTTATTGCCTGATTTCATTCTTTTCTACTGTGGCAGTAGTCAAATCATTGCCCCTGGTGACATAACTGACCTGCACAGGGCATGGTAAATGATCTTGTCGCTGAGGACTGGGGGGGTTTGCTGCTGAGCCAGCACTGTGGGATCTGAGGGAAAACAGGGATGTACGGAAGGCGGGGGGGGATTTGTATGAATAAGGTGGGGATAGTTTACAACGCGTGATCATCACAGGGGACGTGTCTATTACCAAGTGACTCTGCAGTGCCTGATTATTGACAGATATGCACTTTAAGTGACAAATGTAGATTCACCAGCACTTAATTACAGTTCAGGACTAAAGGTGATTTCCATGGCTGCGCCGGTTTTCTGGCTCTACATGTGACCTGCATAGCCTGCATAACTGTCAGGACACACTGTACCGTCTGTTTTCGTCAGTGTAACAGTACCGGCCGTCTGTTGTGGAAGAGGAGATGAGCAAATGTTTTTCCACCAGGAAGTTATGGACAGAGGACTGGCTGTCAGCAGTGCAGGCTCATCACCACCACACCATGGGACCCGGCTGACTCCTGTATTTCATCATTACGCACATTGCCAAGCCACTGACGCATCAAGATCAGAAGAAGTTTTTGCGTCACCCTCATCACTGTTTTTAAAAAATATATATATATAACCATATAAGGGTTATATGCAACAACAAACGGACCTCTGTCTGCCACCAAACGGTGTCTGTTTGATACTGATTAAGTTGTAACCTATTGCCATTCGCTATCTTTCTTTAAAACTGTCGCGCCGTCGTTGCGCTTCTGAAAATGAAGACACACAGATATAGCGGTCGGGAACGGGCTGAGCAGCTCAGCTTTCCTGGGAGCTCCAGGGAAACACGAATAAAGCAGGAGGCGACCACGTTATGCAACTGATCACACACACACACACACACAGCACATTACACGGTATCGTCCTAAATTCATGCTCTAGTTGTTTATGTTGAAGACGTCGGCGCTTTCGCTCAATACTGAAAGACGGACTTGAACGGACTTCCCGGTGAAATCATGAATATATACTGGCCCAGGTGACGCATTCTTTTCACTGAGCTGCAGTCTCGACTAGGCGCTGCTTGTTTACCAGTTGGAGAAGAGGACTGGAACGACTCCCTCTACAGTCACACTAAAATATGATCAAGGGATTGTGAGAAAACAATCACAGTGATAACGAGAGAATAAAACCATAACAGAAGAATTACAAGAGAACATACTTTTACAGCCCGTGCTTTACTCATTTACTCTGTGCTTAGGATATAATTGGCCTTTATATTAGGACACTATGTATATTTCATTATCTTTTATAATTCAACCCAACCCCTTAAATGACGTAGTGTTTTGCTTTATAGGTCAGGAACATCTTGTATGGTAAATATACTCTGAAAAAAAAAAAAACTTCACAGTCACCAAGTGTTGGATCATAGGACCGGAGATGCTATAAATAAAGCTCCAGTCCTGACTGACTACGCTCAAATGAGTCGGAAGAGGGCAGAGTTATAGTAGGAGGGCTTTTCCTCTCTCTCTCTCTACTTTGAACGAGGCCATCTCACTCCAGCATTCATCCCGTTTCCACCAATAAGCCCAATGAGCTGACTGCGCACCACCCACTATCGATGTGTGTATTTTTTCTTCTCCCTTGCCTTCTTTTTTTAAACCAGAGCTGGATGTGTAGATCGTCACATGTTGTTTCCCCTCCTCAACCAGGACACCAGGAGACATGTGTTATTTATTGCTCAGATGTGGGAGAAGACGTACTAACGCACAGCCCTGGAAATAAAGGATTAAAATAAAGCGCGTCGTTTCTTTAGCAACTCCAGGAAAGGAAGCATTGTGTCTGATGGCAGAGGACGCGAGAATGGCGAGTCCGCCAAACACCGGAGATCAGCAGTTATCACCAGGTAATACGAACGTGAACAACAATATCAAGAAATGCGGATATCTAAAGAAGCAGAAACACGGACACAAGCGATTTTTTGTTTTGAAAGAGCCAAACGAAGGGTTCCCTGCCCGGCTGGAGTACTATGAGAGCGAGAAGAAATGGAAAAACAAATCGGCTGCGAAGAGAGTTATTCCACTGGACTGCTGCCTCAATATCAACAAGCGAGCGGACGCAAAACACAAATATCTTATTGCCCTTTATACCAAGGACGAATATTTTGCGGTGGCGGCAGAAAACGAGCAGGAACAGGAGAGCTGGTACCGGGTACTGACGGATTTAATGGTAGAGGGGAAAGTATATGACGGCTCCGCGTCCAACTCTGCGTCGTCGCTGGTTGGCTTCGACGAGGCGAACTATGGTATAATGACGCCGGCTACCGCAGCCTACAAGGAGGTATGGCAGGTTCGTGTGAAACCCAGAAGCTTAGGACAGAGCAAACATTTGACCGGAGTGTGCAGGCTGTGTCTCTCCAGCCGAACTATCAGCTTTGTCAAGTTGAACTCAGAGGTTGCCTCCGTCATCTTACAGCTGATGAATATGCGGAGGTGCGGTCACTGTGAAAGCTATTTTTTCATTGAGGTTGGTCGATCTGCAGCCACGGGTCCCGGGGAAATATGGATGCAAGCCGACGACTCTGTGGTGGCACAGAACATCCACGAAACTATCTTGGAGGCGATGAAAGCCATGAAAGAGCTGTCGGAATTCCGTCCGCGCAGCAAAAGCCAGTCATCTAGTACAAACCCTATCTCTGTGCCTACACGGAGACACCTGAACAATCTTCCCCCTAGCCAGACCGGGCTTCCCCGGCGGTCACGCACTGACAGCATGGCTGCGACATCTCCTGTGAGTAAATTCAGCTCCTGTCGAATACGCACTGCCAGCGAGGGCGATGGCACCATGACACGCCCCATGTCAGTGACTGGGAGCCCCCTTAGCCCCGGGGTTCACAGGACCCTCCTGTGCAGATCTCACACTATTTCAACTCGCCCTTCTCGTACATTTGAAGCTTCTTCCCTCCAGCACAGTAAGTCCATGTCTATGCCCCTGTCTCACTCCCCGCCCATGGCCACCCCTAGCCCAGTGAGTCTGTCTTCCTGCCCAGACAGCAGTACCCCTCGCCCCTCTAGCTGCAGTGCCTCCTTCTCTGGCTCACCTATTGATGCTGGTTTTATCTCAAGTGAGGAGTATGGCTCTAGCCCTGCTGATGCACGGGACCTCAGGCTACCACTCACCCTCAGTAGCAACACTCCAGAGTCTCTCAGAGCTGACACTCCCCCCTCCCGAGACAGCAGTGAGCTTGATGGCTACATGGTGATGGAGCGACAAAATCAGAATGGTTACCGTCAGTTAACCGAGCTGGACAAGGCATTCAGAAAGCGTACATACTCCCTCACCACCCCCCGCCAGCAGAGGGGTCCCCCCCAAGTCTCTTCAGCCTCCCTGGATGAGTATACTCTTATGAGGGCCACATATACCAATGGAAGCCAGTGTTCTCGCAGGTGTCACACTGCCTCCCCTAAAGGGAGCTATCCTGAGGATTACAGGGATGTTCACAACAGCTCTAACAGTCTTCAAGCTGACAGTGGCTATATGCCCATGATGCCGGGTGTGGCACCTCAGACACCAGGGTCCAAGGATGACCCCTACATGCCCATGAGCCCTATGTGTGTTTCTGCTCCAAAGCAGATCATCAACACCCATTCACACATTTCATCAGTGGGGCTGGCCCCACGCACAGACTCCCCTGGGAGTATTTCCCTGGAGGACAGTGGCTATATGCCCATGTGGTGTGGAACAAAAATGTCTGTGGAGAGCGCTGATGGAAAGGTTACCAATGGAGAGTACCTGACCATGTCTCCTGTTGACCCTCTGGGGTCTCTCACACCCCCAGACTATATCCTTAGTCCCACAGGAGGAGATCCCCACCTCCAGCAACATTACAGACAGCCTTATTCTTACAGCTCTCTACCACGCTCACTAAAAGGTCTACTGCAGCGCAGCGGGTCCACAGACGCAGATGAGTATGTGATGATGAGTTTACAGAGACAGAGGATAGAAGAGGAGTCCAACTATTGTTCTATCTCTCCAGGCGACTCTGTGGCCAGCAGTTCTCCAAGGACACCAGGCACCCCGTCCTCTGCGCCATCTCCTCTCAGAGTGGCTTGGGTGGATGGAGGTCTGGCGCACCGGAGTAGGGTGTGTCGGCCCACCCGTCTGGCTATTGAATCCCTCAGAGCACTACCGTGTATGAGCGAACACCCCCTTCCCTCAGAGCCACGCAGCCCCGGAGAGTACATCAACATAGACTTCAGCAGTGCTCCTAGCGACCTGCTAGCATCTACAACGTCAGAGAGCTCTGAGTCACCTGTAGGGTTAATCTGTGCAGAGAGGGGATCCCTGCCACTCCCAGACTATGCTAATGTTAATGACGGCTCCCCAGGTCACCTTGGGTCACACCAAGCTAGGGATTCCTCCCCAGCAAGGTATCTAAACCACCCACCTAAAGTCGTGAGTTGCCGTCTAGTGAACACCGAGCAGGGCATTCTAGGAGGAGAGGAGAAAGAAGAGGAAAAAAGCTTTGAGGGACAGGCAAAGGAGAAAGCGCTGGCAGAGGAATATCCTCTTCGACAGCAGATGAGTCTAGTGTGTCATCCTGCTCCAGTGAAGGAAGACTACACTGAGATGACTTTTGGTCCTCCTGCCCCTCTACCTGCTTCCTGCACCACTGAGGCTGCTCCAGTTCCAACCAGCTCCACTGCGTCTGCCCAGAGACTCAGCCTTGAGAGCAGAATTGTGGATGGGATGCCCCATGTGCCAGTGGACTCTTTTCTCCTGGGGGGTCCTTCCTTATCTGTCACCCCTGTGGATCCACACAGGGGGGCCAAAGTGATCCGGGCTGACCCTCAAGGGCGTCGGCGGCACAGTTCTGAGACCTTCTCCTCTACCACCACTGTCACACCCGTGTGCCCGTCCTTTGCCCACGACACCAAACGGCACAGCTCTGCCTCTGTGGAGAATGTATCCCGCACTGTTCGCAGCTCTGATGGATCTGATAAGGACTATGGCAGCCCCAACAGCCCCATGTGCAGGGAAACATCAGCTGGTTATCAAAATGGACTTAACTACATTGCCTTAAACCTGATGGAGGGAAACCTTGGAGGATGCAGGTTAGGTGGTTGTGATGGACTTCTGAGGTTCAAGAAAGCCTGTGGCTGTAAAGGCGGCATGAATGGCTTCAACCCGAGCCCCTACGCAAGCCTTGGATTTAAGGAGACTGCTGCTGCTGTAAAAGGTGAGTGTTTTCATGTCACACACACACAGCCATTCATTCAGTGAGTTTTCATTCATGAAGGGAGTGGTGTCAGGGCTTGAGTACTCAAGAGATCCGCCTAAGGGCTACTATGTACTCTGCAGAATTAGGCTACTTGTTGCTAAGCAGCACTCCTGAGCTCATTTTCATTCCAAAGCAGAGAATAATGATCATCTTTCAGAGGATGCTGAAAACAAACAGCTTCATTTGTGTGTCTGCAGCATAGTTTTGTGTATTTTAAACAGTTTTAACCCACTGTAAGTTAAAGGGTGATGCAGTGTTTGGTATTTTTCTGGGCTGCCCTTTTATACCCTTATCATTTTATTTTAACTGAAAAATGATATGATACACTTGTAGTTTGTCCCAGCTTTTCAAAGTAGAGGCAGCACCACTGTCTCATGACTGGCCATCTTATGGAGTGTGGCAAATAACAACCTACAGTGTTGTATAATCAAATATAACTTGCTGCGTTCACCAATTGTGTCATTTTACATCAACGGTGGTTACATACTGATTCATGCTGTGAGTTAGAATAGTAGTTTTTGGTCTGTAAACGCAGGCTACAGCAGCTGAGAGAAGTGGTTAAAAGCATTGCTCTTTTGTGTAGGCCGTGATGTTTAGATAGGATTAGTCACCTACTAGTCATACCCATGATACACCGACAAATCTCAAAGCTGTGTGATGCCAAGGAGTTCTGTTTACCAGGTCTTTGATGTGTCCGAAAGTGCACAGGGATGTCAGAGCAACAGCAGCTGAAAACAAATGCGTTTCCTTCCAAGATATGCATAAACATAATAATACTTCTACTCAGTATAGGCCCACGTGCTGACACATTTCAAAGAATGATGCTGCATTACAGTAAAACAGAAATGTTTTAGCAGCACAAAGACATTCCTTATTGAATGAACAATGTAGAAAGGACATAAAATAAGTAATCACAATAATAATGTTTATTAAATACTGAGACCTTTAGCTCAGTCTAGTAGTACCTCCCAACAGGTTAAGGTGATGTACAGTAGTCTAGGCATCACTTCAGCCCCACCCTTTCATAACCCAGCTCTACCTTCTTAGCTAGCATAGTCTGAGGTACTTAACATATTTATATTACTGAAAATGTACTTGTACTAATAATGCAACAACATTATTATGTATTATCACTACCATCATGACCATATTATTAATCATAACACAGCATTACAGTGGGTATTATATGAGAAGATTTACACTTTTATTGGCTGTCATGTTTCACTGAGGTTTTTTAAAATTTGTCTTGTAATGTAAAAGATAATTTATTTAAATTGATCGATTGATTTTGGAGGTGGCTTAAGTATATGCCCGGTATGCTGAAAATTGTTACACTTGTTTTGAGAGCCATAGCAGGTGATTTTGTCACATGCCCACATTAGCGTATCAATGAGGTGTTTTGAAATCCTTGTGTTGAGCTGTGTTTGGGGGGGGAACAATCCAATTTCACTCAAAATATTACCTTTCAACTCGTTTACTCACTGTTGCATCAGTGGTTTTTCATGTACCTCCAAACACCAGAGATTGTTTACCTGCATAGATGACCTAGCAGGGGCATGTCAGAAGTTGTTTCAGAAGAGAACACATTGTGTCAGGACCATTGTGAATCAGGAGTCAGTGTTCCTGATGGTGAAATACAAGAGTTTAATTGCTGTTTGTGGTTTCGCAACCAAGTTGTCTTTGTCTCTGTCTCTGCTGGCTCCCATGCTGTGAGCGCAGCCAGTGTGGGGGCAAGTCATCGAGTTCCCCAGAAAAACAAGTGAGTCAGTTGTTTATCAATTGTCAGGTACTGGGTTTCAGGACTGGAATGTGGGCAGTGTGCAAAGCTTGGTGGGAGACGTGAATGCTCACTTGTTTTTCTAACCTGGTGGGATAGACTCCGAGGGGGGATGGGAGGTTTTTTTTTTTTCCAGTGTGAGCAACTTCACAGACACACCAATGAAATGGTTTTACAAAGAAGCAGGCACTTACTAATGTATTTTTGTTCACCCTCACACCTGTTTAGAACCTGCCAGTTTTTGTCATTTCTTTGTGTCCTGCTACTTTTATGTGTCAGGACCCGAAATATTGAATTTTGACCCTCAGCTGAGACTTTTGTTCAAAGCCATGAGTGCAGAGGAGGAGAAAGAACAATTGTGATTGATGGATGGATGGATGACTAGTTTTGTTTTTCATGTCCAACTAAATAGAAAATTGAGCTTTGGTGGATCCGAAGCTGAGAGTGAGGGGGAGGAATGGAGGAGTCAGAAGGAAAGGAAAGAAATAAAAAGAGATCAGCATTGATCTAGTAAGAGTTAGGCTTTGCTTCTATATGTTGATTAAGCAAGCCCTTCCTAAAAAACAAATATCTTTGTGTAATAGTGACTAGTGTAGCCTTGATACTCTCATCAGTTACTACTGTTTACTACAGGACGATAGGCTTGATAACGTTCTCTTGCCATCACTGAGTAAACCGGTCTGAATTCCCTGCAGACCATTTGCTTGAAGCAGGTAAAACAGATGACCTGTGCTCATTTGGCATTCCAAATTATTGCAGTGTGAGGGCGAGACATGCTGCGCTTTAGCTCAACAAACATGCAAACGTGCCTGTCATATGGAGGTTTTCATCAGATGTGGAATAGCTGAGTCTGTTTGTAGATAGGCTGCACTGTTGTTGTTGTTGTTGTTGTTTGGGTTTGGAGGGCTGAAATGATGTACAGGGATCGGGGAAGTGAGCAAAACAGGGATCTGTGCAGCTTGTAGCTGGCAATGTCCTTTCTTGACCTTTGAACTTAGCACAGTGTGTGTAAGAAACACCAAGAGATATTATAATCAGGGTATTTCCAGAAATCCACAGACCTCTGTCTGTGTTGCTATAGAAAAATGGAGGCACGTGTACTCTTCTTACATCTTTCTTTTTGGTTTAGTTTTACTCCCTTTGTTTGGCTGTCCTCATCTAACCTCTGCCCTTTCTGTTTTCTCCTTCCAAGCTTCTCTAACATCCTTGTTCCATCTTCTCTTTCCATTTCTGTCTTCTTTATCTAATGTTTTGCTCTCTGGTTAAAAACAGTCCCACAGGGGGGAGACTGACTCACACTCACTATGCCTTTCATTTGTGTGCCTAGACTGCACCCCCCCTCCCACACACACATACAGCCTACCCAAACACACACACGCACATTTCCACTTTCTTCCGCTCCCATGTGCGTATATATACACAACTATCAGCAGCTGGTGGTGGTGGTGGTGGGGGGGGATTTGCATCTGCCCTGCCGAGCACTGCTCACTGGTTATCTGGCCCTTCAGAGGAGAGTGACAATATGCTAATGACCGGCCACCATCTGCCACAACAACAAGGGAGAAGGTGGGGGTGTGGCCAGGCAGTTTCAAGAAGCCAAACACCGACACCAAACCCTTCCCCCTCTTCTGTGCACTCCCCTTCACAGTTTCTCATCTTCTTCTTTCCAGGCATTGGTTTCTGATTTTCAGAAATCATGTGATTCACCCTAGTCTTCTTTCTGTTGTCATCTGACCTCAGTGGACTGTTTACTGGCTTTTCACACCAAGGGCCAAAGATGATTGTCTCACAGTAGGTTATACAATTAGTGTAATGCATCATTAAACAACTGAGTAATGCAGATAGTTATATCTGATTAAAGCCATAAACAAGACCCTCTTTCCTCCTACTGCATGGTTTATTAATTTATCAGTTGGATTGAACAGCTGATTTGATATGTCTAGAGCTGCAAAAATTAATTCATTAGTTGGTCGACAGAAAATTATTTGGCAGCTGTTTTGATGATGGATATACTGTATCCCTTCAGTAATTTTTCAAGCAAAATTTCCAGACTATCTCTGGCCTCAGCTTCACAAATGTGGTGATATTCTGCTTGTTGTTAGTTATATAACTGTAAACTTTGGGTTTGATAAAGCAAGGCATTTGAAAATGTCATTTTGGGCTTTGGGAAATTATGACAATTTTTCATTATTTTGAGACATTTTAGAAGCTTAATCAAGATGTTAATTGGCAGAATTATAATAGTTGTTAGTGTTAAGCCTAGAAATGTCGTTTGTTATAGTGTTTTCATGAGCTGCTAATCAATAACATTCTTATTACAAGAGCAGTCAACTTCAGTTTGTCCTCCATTCTGACAACATAGTGAGTTTGTGCATGTCATCATATATGAAGAATATAAATCTACATCATAGATTTTATTTTTGAAGTGAAAATGCTCCTTCTTAGCCCAGAACATTTAAGTCCGTAGAGACTGACTAGTAATTTGATTACACGCAGTATTTTGAGGAGCATACTGTCTCTGACTCCACCTGTTCCCAAACATATACACAGTGCCTCTGGCTGTCTGATGGGACGTTCTAGCACTAGATAAAAACAAAGTCAATCTACTGTCTTCTCAATTTAGCTTGGAGGTAAGAAGGATTACATTCGCTTCCGGATTAGACATTGTTGAGTAGCTTGTTTATCTACAGGCTGGGGAAGAGCTACAGCTTCTGTGTGTGTGACATGAGTGCACATGGTGTACATTGCTTACACACAGCATGCCAGGTACAGTAATCCTGTGGGCTACTGGCTGCTTCCAGGCTTTTCATTCATAAACAGACCAGCTCACTCCACTGCTGTATTAATGGTTCCATGTTGAGCATTGCAGAAGAATGGCGTTCTGTAATATGTAGCAAGGGTTTCTTGACTTCATCTGGGTTTTCTCATGAAAATCATCTTGGCTTGTGAGCATGAATAGTGGAAATTAGCTCTTACTTATCATGATTTTAGTTGAACATGTACTTGATCAAACAAGAAATAATCACAGCTACTTTGATAATGAATTAATAATTAATGTAACTTTAGGAACAAAAAAATTAAACATGCTTTAGCTCCAGCTTCTCAGCTGTGAGGATTTGCTGCTTTAAAGGGAATCAATTTGTACTGTGTACAGACCAAACAACATTTGACAATATCAAATAGGGCTTTGGCAAAATGTTAATGGGCTTTTTTAAAAACCCTTTTCTGACATTTTATAGAGCAAAGGCAGGTCAGAGTTGAAGAGTCAGTCGGTGTTTGTTTGGTGGCGCACTGCTGTA